TCGTCATCGTCGTCATCATCCTTGTGCTTCTTGTGGCCGTGCTTCTCGTTGGCCTTGGGCGTGAGCGAAAACGAGTTGGCGTAACCCACGACGCTCTTGACGTGCTTGCCTTTCTTGTTGGTGTAGCGCTGCGTCCAGCCGCCGCCGACAACACCCGAGACGACGAGGTCCCCGTCCCGTGCGCAGCGGCGAATGGCCTTGTGGAGGTCGTCGACGACCTTGTCGGCGTGCTTGGGCACATGGAAGGTCTCCATCTTGCCCTTGAAGCGCTTGCCGGCGTACAGCACACCAGAGAGCTCAATGTCATCGCCGACGACGACCGCGGCCTTGGCGCCACCCACGTACTTGTCGCCGTGGCGACCGCGCGGCGCGTAAAAGCCGCTGCCGCCGCTGATCGCGTGCACGAGACGTTCCTTGCCGCAGTGGACGCTGAATTCGGCATGGGACCCGCCGTCGAGCGACTCAAAGTCGCGCTGCGCAACGCAGTCGTCTTCGGGGCGCCACTCGAGCGGCGTCGCCTGCTTGAGGCTCAACGCCGCCGACGCCGGCGCGTCGACAAAGCTCTCGAGCACATGGAATGCCTTGTGCGCCGAGAGGTCGCCACACGACTCGCTCCACTCGCGGCCGTCCGTGCGAACCGCAAAGGACGCGTCCGTCTCGATCTTGTCGTCCGCAACGCGCGAGACCCACGCCGCCACGTCGGCGACGAACGCGTCCGTGTCCTTGTGCAGCAGCTTGACGTACTTGTCCATGGACGTCGGCGCCGTCCACTTGGCGTCACCGACCGTCAAGTGGTCCGCCGCCGTCTGCGCCGCGAGCGCCGTCATGACCAACGACCCGACAGCCTTCATGTTGAGATGTGTGCTGTGCTGGAAGAAAGCAAAAATGGTCGCAGAAATCGGAATCGAGCTTGCCCTTTGTATGCCCTTTGCCGATCGCGGACGGTGCCAGGTCATCGCTCCTGACCGAATGTCGCATGTCGCAGATGGTGCTTGTCATTCCCTTAACAAGTACACACCGTTCGCAACATGCAGCAACTGTGAAAAGACCACAGGTTCTAGCAACACTCACGCGCAAGAAGGTATCGATACTATCAAGGGTAGATTTGTTTCCATTGCTATTATCTCTTTTGACGATCTGCAGCTATAACGTTACCAAAGCGCGTCCGAACAGTACTGCAAAAAGTCATTTTGATGGATCGAGTGCGATCAAGTGATATCGAGAGTAGGTGAACCAGCGAGACCAGCGAGACTGCAGCGAGACTTCTTTAATCAACTCGATCCCCAAGGCTTGATGCGCTGCATTTGCAAGGCGAATGGACGCGGGCGGTGCAAATTAGAAAGAGGCGCGACTGGACGACGTACTGAATAGGCGAATTACATGGGTGGATTGTCGAGAACCGCATGCGAGGAAACGTCCGGTTGGTGCGAAGCAGCCAGAATTCAGCCTGAGCCCAGCACGCAAGCCCAAGCAAGCTGATCGGCGGCCACACTAAACAGCAATTGTACCAGGTAGAGAGGCGCCACGACGCTGCGATTGGTGGAGAGCATGGATGCCAAAAACATTGCTGGCCGTCGCTCAACCCGCAGTTGCTTTGAGTATTTCCAGCAGTGCGTGCGAGTGCAGTCCTTCGAGCACTAGTATGGGGAAAGGCTCGCGCGTGGTCAAGGAGTAGCTCCTTCACGTCAACCCACCCAAGGTCGGTGTGCGCGCCGGACGTATCTGGTTCCGCTTCAGATTCCAACGCGCATCAGCCGTGCGCGCATGGTATTGGCCGTAAATCGAGCACACGAATCCATGGGATTGGTCACTCGAAAAATGCGAGCACCAATGGCATCGTGCGGCTTGGGACGACCGCCGACAGGAGCATGGCTTGCCGCTTTGACGTCGACGGCAACTACATTGGCGCGCCGCCACCGACGCCGGCGCCAGGGACGCTACCGTCGGTCGAAGACCTTCTGTGTACACCGTCGTACTGCATCGCCAAGTACGCGCGCCTCGTGCACGAAGCGCGGGTGCTTCTCGCGGTCGCGGACGCCGGCACGGCGCTGGACGTGCTCTTTGGATACACCACGGAGCAGGTCGCCGACTACAAGCGCTGCTACGCATTAGCACAGGCCGCGAAAGGACGCATTGCCGACACGTTTTGTGTGCCCGAGTACGTCATGCGGGTGACGGCCATCGACAAAGTCGAGGCGAACCTGCGATTGCTGGATGCGCGGGTCCGCGCCGAGCTCGCAACGCTCGACGCGCTGCGCGAGAAGCTGCAGGCACTCGCCGATATGAACCACAACGTCGCGCAGCAACTCGAGATTGCGGGTGCGCACAGCCTTGCAGACGCCAAGGGCCACTTGTACGACTCTACGCGCCGACACTTCGGTTCAAAATGACATGTAGGGCGACGATCGAGACCATTCTCTTGGAGCGCGTCGAGATGTTGGTGAATGGCAAGATCCCGCTCGTGCACTTCTTTGGAGATGCGTGCTGGCCAGCGTACGCCACGGGTCTCGCGTAGGCTCTACGCTACTCCTTGTCCAAGCTCCTCAAGGTTCTGTAGGCCACGTTCGACCCAAGAGAGCCAAATGCACGAGAGCAGCGACGTAGCAGAGACAGAGTTCCACACCAAGGCGCCCGACCACCTCCCGTCGTCGTCTCTGTCATCGATCTCGAGCATGACGCCAAACGCTCCGCACGACGAAGACACTAGCAGCGGCTCGATGACGGTCATGTCCGCCTCGGAAAGCCTGTAGTGAATATTCATTCCCACACAAAAGAACTCGCAGTTAAGATCGGTGGGGGATATCGTGCTTCTTTCCTTGGTGGGCTTGCATGTACAGCAGCATACTGCGTCGCTCTTCGGCCTACACGAGATAATTTGACGTTTGAAAATATGACGAAAAATAACGAAAAATCAAAGAAAAGGGACCTTTTTGGCGTCTTGAAGCTTCCACAAATCGGTCTACATCACTTTGTCAGGATCCAAAGGCAAGAGCAGCCGAGCACCTTGTGTGCCGAACACGACGCCATGAGCGACGAGAGTTGCTCCTGGAGCTCCCAGCAGTGGCGCTGCCACGTTTCCGTGTCGCTGATTTGCCTACCGAATACCATCATGTTGTTGGACTATTGCATGAGGACGGGAGGTGTACGCTTCGAGCAGAGCGCGCATTTCGACAACCGCATCTTGGCTGCCCACCATCTCTGCCTTGGAAACGACGTTGGCATGGACAAATGCATGGTCTACACTCAAAATGACCCTGGTTGCGTCATGGATTGCCACCTACGCTCGGACTGCAGATGTTGGAGCTCGTCCTGGACGCGCTGGTGCGTGTTGTGGGCGACGCTGACCTCTTCGCGGTACTGGACGGCCTGGGCCGTCGCAGCCACCAAATTGTCGCGAAGCCGCGCGATTGTGCGCTACATCGTTCTCCAGTCATGGCGGGTTGATGCATGACATGCATAGTACATACAGTCTTCTCGTCGTGCTCGGCGCGGAGCCGGGCTCGGCTTTCCATCGCCGCCTAAGCGAGGTCGTATTCTAACCATCGTGTATCAAGTTGATAATGTGTACTTTCAAATTGCCTTCCAAGTCGGCGACCATGGACAGCAAGGATACCGCGGTGCTGTCCAGCGTCTTGGAGCGGCCTATTCCCGCTGCAGAAAACGATCAACTTGATGTTTTCCGCACCAATGTAAATCTGAACACGTTCCAGATCGAGCTCGAGGCTGTTGACACCAAGCGCGTCGTAGAGTTGCATGAGACCTTCGGGTGTGAGTCCCACGGCAACGACCGACGTCTCGCCGCCGCTGGACGGACATGGCCGCGTGTCGAGGCTGTAGCGTGCGACGACCTCCGCAAAAGAGCTCTCCGTGTACAGCGATGTATGGCCCAACGCCATCTAAGCATGCTTTCTCAATCTCAAACGTTCTTCTCCATCTCAAAAGCATGGACGACCTTGAGCGCGTTCATTTCATCGAGGTTGAGCAGTTCGTCGCCGTCCAGATCAAAGCGGTGAACGAGGGCCTTGACGCCGGCCACCGCCCAGTCGACTCGCTGCGGCGTGCGCTCAATCGCATAGTGCTGCATGGCGTGTGCGTGAATACGCTTGAGCTCGCTCTGGAGCAGCGCCACCAGCTGCGCTTGTTCGTCCTACGCCAGGTACACGGTCGATCCTGGTTGGACGCAGTCGAAATGCGTACCTTGGCCATGGTCATGGCGCTCAAAGCGCTCTCTTGGGACGCGACGAGGACCTCGAGGTGCTGGTTGCGCGATAGCACACGTCGGTGCTCGTCACTGAGCTCCTGCGATTGGCTTGAAAGTCTACAGATTGCGCGAGCAACGACAGTGACGCACCTCGAGCGAAGTGAAGTTGCGGCACCCTTTCTACATACCAAAGACTAGAGTAAGAGACGATTCAGTTAGGACACAAACGTTCAACCCAGCAAAACGCCGTGAGGTCCTTGGAGCCGCACTCGCGACAGCCAAAGGACGGCGGTGGCTTGTACGGTGAGGCGCTGACCGGGACCAAGGTCGACTGTCTACGAGTGCTATATTGTCCAGCAAAACATATGCCCGTTTTCATTGTACAAGAGCCGAATGTCGTCTTGGGTCGTTGCCCAGCGTGTCTCGTTGTCGCTCTCGTGGCTCGACTCGCACCTACGCACCATGAGTCTTTTCTTCTGTGCAAGGCGGCAACAGGGACGACGACGGCGGCGGACTCCTATCACATTGCACCGTCTTGGTCGGCGATGACCGCAGAGACGGTGACGGCGGCGGTTTGAGCTGGAAACACCTACATCATTCGTGGGCTCCTGACCTCGTTAAGTAATCGACTTGGTTTGAAGCTGCAGAAACGAACGCTCCGAGATATTGCGCCGTGTCGGCGAGGGCGGGCGGAGACTCTGCAACGAGTTCCTACGCGACGAGGTGAGCTTTAGAGCGCGACGCTTCAAGTCTCACCGAGGCAGTCGTGTCGATGTCGTGCTACTTGCATCCGAGGTGAGCACGTGCAGCTTTTTGCTACAAATGCGTCATCATAAACACAACCCTTCAAAGTAGGGGTTAGGGTACGCGTTGCGCTTGAATTTGGGCACGGGCGGCTTGCGCGCGGGGCTGCCTTGGGTGCTAGTCGTCGAGCTACGTCGCAGCAGGTCGCTGCTGTGCGCCGGCATCGGATCTCGCTCACGTGTTTGCAAGTTTCACTGTCATGTAACTCCCACTAGACTCACATGCACTTTAGCGCCGTACTTATCGATCTTGTTAGCCAATTCGGTCCCATTCCGGCGTTGGCGGTAGCCTGCTCCTCCGCGTCGCGCCCGCTACGATGCTACTTCTTGTTGCCGTCGATC